TATATATTATTTTTTATATTTATATCATCGAAATCATCCATATCACATCATTTACCGTTATTTTAAGTTGAAGGGTTTGATATGCAAATAATTAAGAAAGTCATCCTATTTTTAAATTAACTTTAATATTATCAAAATAACGTTGAAATGAAAGATAATAAATGATATAATATTTTCGGTGGGCCCCATTTTAAAATTTTTCAGTTAAGTTATAATTTGTAAAAAAATCCAATTAAATTGTACTATTTACAATTAAATTAGACCAACTTGTGGGACCGGTCATACCAAGTCACATTGTTTGGTTGGAGACATTATTAGGCATGATGCATGTGATCGGCATACTATATATATCACATGATGAAAAAAAATATTCCCTTACCATAAAAATATAACTTGTTTATTTTCTTACTTTAAAATTTAGTTATTTATATATATATGCAACATCTAAATATTAATATTTACTTTCATGACAATTAAATTTTTAAATCATATAAAAATACACTAATATTAACTTTTGAAAATAAAATATGCTTTTTTCATGCAATATTTTGATGTTAGTTGTAATATATAAACCATCTAAATTCATCTTGAGGCAATTGCATACAGACCATCTGAAACTTGCTATTTACAAATTAACCCGTCATCTTTCATTCATTTTTCAAATTCTAACTCTAAAAATCAAAATTTCATATTTTTTTATTTTTGTCAAATTCTCAGTAGTTTAATCATGGGGCACACCTAAACACATGTATAACTTGTAAATATCAATATTTCAGATGAAGTATATATAATTATCCCTACTAAGTTTGGAATTAATTAAGAGAGAAACAACAAAATGTGCTCTTAATTACGAAATAATCCAAATGTCAAAAAAAATAATTATTATATTTATTACTTTATTATATTAAAAATCTTGTTTTTTTTTTTCAGGCACATAATATGACCATCGTTGAAGTGGACGGTTATTATGTGAAGCCGGTCGTCGTGAAGAATCTGAATATTTATTCCGGCGAGACTTACTCAGTCATATTGAAAGCTGATGAAGACAAATCCAGAAACTATTGGGTGGCGCTCAATGTGGTCAGTCGAAAACCTAACACCCCAACTGGTACTGCCATTCTGAACTACTACCCCAACCATCCCCTTAAGCCGCCGCCGACAGCCACCCCCATAGGCCCACCTTGGAACGACACCTTGTATAGATTCAACCAAAGCAAGTCCATTGTCTCCCACCCCAACTTTATCGAGGCACCACCACCCACATCCAACCGCCTCATCATCCTCCTCAACACATTTTTGAGTTATTTCTGGGTTATTTTGGAATTATTGAAAATAACTCAGAAATAACTTGAAAATAACTCAGGAATAACCTGCACCGCACGTAGAGGTACGTCAGGTGTCCGGACAGAAAATACGCGCCACACACAAACACATGTGTGCGGTTTTTTCAAAAAGAAGAAACACTTCGGTATATAACTTGTAAATATCAATATTTCAGATGGAGTACAGATAATTATCCCTTCTAAGTTTGGAATTAATTAAGAGAAAAACAACAAAATGTGCTCTTAATTACGAAATAATCCAAATGTCAAAAAAAAAAAAAATCATTACATTTATTACTTTATTATATTAAAAATCTTGTTTTTTTCAGGCACATCATATGACCATCGTTGAAGTGGACGGTTATTATGTGAAGCCGGTCGTCGTGAAGAATCTGAATATTTATTCCGGCGAGACTTACTCAGTCATATTGAAAGCTGATGAAGACAAATCCAGAAACTATTGGGTGGCGCTCAATGTGGTCAGTCGAAAACCTAACACCCCAACTGGTACTGCCATTCTGAACTACTACCCCAACCATCCCCTTAAGCCGCCGCCGACAGCCACCCCCATAGGCCCACCTTGGAACGACACCTTGTATAGATTCAACCAAAGCAAGTCCATTGTCTCCCACCCCAACTTTATCGAGGCACCACCACCCACATCCAACCGCCTGGGCACTCAACAACATCTCCTTCACGCTGCCGACCACCCCTTATTTGATAGCCATGAAGAGTCAGATGCAACATGTCTTTAGCCAAAAACCAGCTCCAGAGACTTACGACTATAAGAACTATAACATCCATGTTGTTTCAAGCAACCCTAACACAGTTTCCAGCAATTCAGTCTATAGATTGGAGTTTGGTTCCACGGTGGACGTCATCCTGCAGAATGCGAATACGTTGAGTGCTAACAACAGTGAGACTCATCCATGGCATCTACATGGGCATGATTTCTGGGTTTTAGGGTATGGAATGGGTAAATTTGATCCAGAGGTGGATTCAAAGAAGTATAACTTGTTTGACCCGATTCAGAGGAATACTGTACCATTGCACCCTTATGGGTGGACTGCGCTGAGGTTTAGGGCTGATAACCCTGGGGTTTGGGCTTTTCATTGTCATATTGAAGCTCACTTCTTCATGGGAATGGGGGTTGTTTTTGAGGAAGGGGTGGAGAAGGTAGGCGAGCTCCCTAGTTCTATTATGGGATGTGGAGAGTCCAAGCATCTGAGAAGGCGAGCTTAAAATGGGCGTTGGGGTTAGGCCTTTCTTTTCAGCGCCACGCATCGTTGTTCTTATTATTTTTTGTGATGACATAATTATAAGTATATTTTGCAAGTGAAATATACATGGTGATTTGACAAATACTTGCGTGTTGATGAATTTCATGATATTTTTTAGTGCTAGTTCAACTAAGGTTTTGGCACGACTTCCTTTTTGTTTGCATGAACATATAAATGTTGATGAATTCTAATTGGAAAATATTATTGATACAAATTGAAATGTTTTATTTATAAAAAAATTTCAATAGTGGTTTTTTGTTTTTTTATGACAAATAGTTTAATTTTAAAGGTGAATAAAATAATTAGATTGATTAGTGAAGGTGTTGGAAAGTATCATGCGAAATTAAGTAGAGTCAAGCAGCGGAGAACAGAAATGAGAGAATTGTTATGTCAAATATTCGAGAAGAAAGAAAGAATGTGCGAGTGGGACGAGCAAAATAAAATTTAAGAATGCGTCAACGGTAGAGTTTTTTAGTAATTTATTTGTATTCATTCATTTTAAGCTTGATTAATCGGGCTTGGTTTGATTTTTGTGTTGGAACGGATTCAGATAACTCAATTTGAGCCGCCTTGTTTCGATTTTGAGATAGATCGAGCTTGATTTAATTTTGAGCTTAGCTCACTCAGAATGAAATATAACAAGTCATAAGCTAATTTCAAGCCTCACTCAATCCCATTCAAGTTGATTTCAAACCGAACCTGGTTCGACAACCCTAGCTACTTTTCTCCTCTCCCTTTCTTTTCTAATGCATTATTTCAAAAAAACAAACAAGAATCAATAAAAGGGCATGTCGCTTCAGGAATAAATCATTTATGAAAATAGAGTCTATGTTGAAGATGCTGATCAATTGGAGATGGTAATGTTAGCAAACGCAAAAATACTTTTTGTGAAGTAGTTCTCAATGTAAAGGCTTTATAGATTGCATCATTTGTCAACTAAAGGGCATGAAGATAGGGAAATTTTTTCTGTTCGGACTCCGGATATAGCTTGACGTGCGGACTCCAATAATACGCGTCCATGTGTGTTACATCGCGAAAGTTATTTCTGGATTATTGAAGTGGAATATATGAGTTTCTCTTCAATAATCCTGAAAAAAAACTCTGCGGTGTTATTTCATGATTATTGAAGTAGAATCGTGAAGATTATTTTGGGATTATTGCAGAGTCCATAGTTTCACTTTAATATTTTTTAAGTTGGCTCGATATAGCACACACAACGGTATATTACTTGGAGTCTGCACGTAGAGCTACATACGAAGTCCGGACAGAAAAGTCAGGCATTGCATTAGGCACACCCATTCATCTAAACTAGAGTTCTTCTTAAGACCAGATTATTGATTATTGCAAGAGACCAATAATTTGATCATCAGCTTCTCCACATGCAACATAGAGTTATTCTTTTACATCTTCCAATGACTTATATCATCAGTATAAATGATGCAGAGGCTTCAACATTGCCTGTAGATATATTAAGTGGCGAGAAAGGCTCCTTGAAGTGCACTGCTAATTTGCTTTTATCAGTGTTCACTTCAACATATATGGGTTTGACATACAAAATTATTTTGCACTTGCCAAACGGCTCAAAAGAATACCATGGTTTAGCTAGCTAGGCCGTTCATTTTAATCAAATGATATAATTTATAAGAACTATGGAAGTTATTTACTACTATTATGATGAAATTTTCCCGACATAAAAGAAAAAAGAGATCACTTCTAAAATGTATGCACTAAAACTGCGAGTATGAATCTTAAAACAATCAAATCATTAAACTAAAGCATGATTTGAAACAACCATCCGACGGCCGACCGCTCGGTCAAAATTGACCGACATGTGATGTTGATGGAACCAATCGACGGACCATGTTTATGGTCCCGGCTACCTAAACTTCCTACAAGGGCGTCCGATCACAACTAGTGGACCGACTGGTTTTGTTTTGACGGGAGCGATTGTCATTCGACCGGTCGGCTCGTTGATCGAATTCAAACATGTCGACTAGGTGATAACCGCCAAATTCAAATCCAATTTGAAATGCAAATATAATTTTAAATCAACGCATTAATTGCATTATGGGTGGTTTCTATAAACACTCATCTCTTTCTAAAATTCTACAAATACGCCCCTATAAATAGGGGGTGAAAATATGAATAAAGGGACTCATCTCGGCCTCTCTATTAGGAATTCTCTAATTGTCCCACTATTTCCCTCTTCCTTCTTCCTTCGGCTCCATCTCTTGGGATGTGTATTCCCGAAAGACAACTTTGGATTCAACATCCTGAAAAATGCTGCAGTGAGCGTGGACAAGCCTCAGATGAGAAGCAAACCCAACTATGAAGAATAAAATTTACAAAGGGATGTGGTGCCCATGGAATTCGGTAGAGAAATGGTGCGGCGAGACATCTAGGAAGAGGTTCAAACATTGCAAGCGCGGATAATGGACCCGTTTGAGGCCCTCCAAGCTGCTATAACTTAGAGGAACACTCAAACCCCACTCTCGGAAGGAGAATCCTAAGGAACACTCTCTTAGAAAGTCCCTCAAAAAAATCCGTCTGCACCCGATAGTCAATTTGGTGATCGATCGACCAAAGAATAGGGGAACTCCCAGCTCGCTAACAGTTTGGCATCTACACTGATGATCAAGCATCGGTCGGATCGAAAATGAACAACTGTCCGGCAACCGCAGCCAGTTCCTTCTCTCAAAAAACTTAGAAACTATACCCCCGATGAAGCTAAGGATTCTCCATTTAGATCCTTACAAGGGGAAGATCGACACAGCAGACCACGTGGTTTCCTTCAAATCTTCAGTAGGAGTTTTGTTGATCAATGATACCATGAAGTGTCGAGTCTTTCTATCCACGCTAAAGAAGGATGCACTGTGGTGATTCAGATCATTCCATCCTTTTAAGAATTTAAACAACTCTTCCTAGCACGCCTCACCAATGTGCAGAAGAAAATGAAGGATAGTGAGACCCTTCTCCAGATCAAGCAAGGAGAGAATGAAAGCTTGTGGGCTTACATCAATCACTTCAAAAAGGAAATGCTGGAGGTGAAAAAACTGGAGCCTCTCATTACGCAGACAGACTTGAAGCAGGGAATCTATAGCAAGCGGTTCTGGTATGACCAAAACTTGCTCAAACCAAGATCTTTCGCTGAGGACTTCGAATTGGCCAACAACCATATCGTCGTCGAGGAGGACCTTATGGACTCATCAATAACCAAACCGGAATCATCCAACTGACGGATGCAGAAGCGGAAGGATCAGGATGATTGGAAGCAGCAGAAGAGTGATCGAGCCCCCGATGATCGGCGGAACGACAACCCCTGGTCCCGAGATAACCGAGGAGGTAACTATAACAGTAAGAGTCAGAGGAGTCACAATGAACAGCAGTCGGCTCAATAATATAAGCGACCTCACATATATCAAAAAATATGAAATTTGACACTCCTAAACATGTCAATGACCGAGCTAGTCTAGATCAATCAAAATAAGGATTATTTCAAAAAAATATCACTGTTGAAAAATGCACCGACCCTTCGTAATCCAAATAAATATTGTGCCTACCACCATGGTCATGGGCACGACACAGAGGAGTGTCGCCATCTCAAGAATTTGGTGGAGAAACTCATCAAGGCTGGGGAATGGAAGGAATACGTCACTATCAAAGGACCTACAGAGCGACATGAGAAGGCCCTGACAGAGGAGCCTATAGATGGACCCGTCCAAGCGAACAAAGTTCACCTTGCTTGGATCATTCTGGCTATCTTCAAAGGAAATAAAGAGTCATCCTGATGGTCCACTTTAAAGAGACACCGATCGAAGGAGGTATCTTTCGTCATCTCTTACACTCATACTCATCCTCCAATTACTTTTACAGATGCAGGCCCCCAAAAAGAAACCCATATAATTAAGCAATCATCGTTATGACATTCATAAATAACTGCCAAGTGGGCAGTATCCTGGTCGAAACCGAAAGTTTGATAAACATTCTATTCAAAATGGTTGACGACACCGGTTGGTCCTTTGTTCAACTTTTCTAGCGAGAGATGAAGCTTTGGGAGTAATCACTCTAGTTGTCTCATGGGGTGAGCAAAAAAAATCGTTCACCAAGACATGATACTTTCTAGTTGTGTAGTCCTCATCAACTAATAACATGATCTTCGGCTGGCCATTGTTAAATAGCTACCAAGTAGTTGCTTCAACCTACCATATGACTGTGAAATTTTGTGGAGATGGAAAAATAATCACAGTGAAGGAGAACCTGAAATATTCCAAAAGATGTTATCTTTGAATAGTAATCAGCGTCAATCACGAGCCACTTGACATTTAAATCCAGAGGGAAGGGGATCTCAAGACCAGTGAGACAGTCCGTTGAGTGCTCGCAACCGACAAAAGATGAGCCCAATAAAATTTTTTTGATCACTGAGAGCTTTGATGCTAACCTCAATGCCACCGGTTCGAAGGGCACCTATCCCCTACAAAGGATTGTCACACTGTCAGTCACTAGATTCCTCTCTTGAAAATTTTGCTTTGGATTTAATATATATATATATATATATATATATTTATATAATGATGGTGGCGGCTGGGGGGGGGGGTTCGCTAATAACATTTTAATATTTGAAAAATGAGACTAGCAATATCTCCTTCATTAATAACTTAAATAAACGAGCACAACACCGCGAGCAATGCACCTATCACGAATAATAGACACATTACTTGATAGTGTGACTCGATCAAATAAACTAATGAATTTATGACATTCGTTTGGTCTGCGAAATCTTTTATGTTGACCAACAAGTTTTCGTATCTAATATAAAAGATTAGATAGAATTTATATTACAAGGTTTTAATGCGCTTTATAGAGGCAAACCATTATAGTTAATTACATCCCAAATGACCGAAGTCACTTGAGAAAAGTCTCGATTTAGATCAGAAGAAAGTCAAACGGGAATGGACTAAATATGAACAATTATTTTGGAATCAAAAGGGAAGAAAAGTAGGGGAGGTTACGGATCCTGAGGCGAACTTCAGTGACTTCCCAAACCATTATATTGTGTTGCTTTATATTTTGGAAAAGATATTTA